TACTGTTACTTTCATTATTTGTATTTTATAGACAAAATATAAGAGCTTATAAATTGTACGATGACGTTTATATAAGCTTACATGAAAAGTAAATAAACAAAAAACTTAATGAAGCGGAGCTAGAATGAAGGATCTTATCACATATTTGTAAGAATTATATAAACTGAGTTGCAAAGTTAAAATTATTTATTTAAAGTATATAAGTGAGCTTTAGAACTTTAGCCAGAATTAAAATTAAAATCCGAATAATGTTTGAAATCAAAAAAAAAATATTTTCAAAATTGACATATTTTTTCCCCATATTTTAGTTAACATAAGCAGAAAGTTTTTTTAATCATTCAAATCGGATGCTTAGTTCTTTCAAAAACTGCCACTTTTTGCACATTTTGCTCAGTATCTCCGAAACGATTAGACCTGCCATTGCCAAAAACTAATCACCACTTCTCCTCATTATTACGAATTGAATGTTTTTCAGATCATTCAAATCGGATGCTCCGTTCTCTGAAAAACTCGATTTCTATCTTCTGCATTCTTTGCTCCGTATCTCCGAAACGGCTGGACCTACCTTTGCCAAAAACTAATTTTTATCAATAGGAATTAAATGTTTTTTATATCGTCGGTTAATCTGTGCGCCAGAAAACGTACACGAAAAATTGTATCCACACAAATACACACACATACATATTCATTTTTTCTAAGGTATGCTAAAATGTTCGGAAATTCTCGAAACGTGAAGATTGGCAAAACTTCTCAATTTCGATTTTTGGACGATTACAATAGCTTACCCTACGAAAAGTTAATAAAATAAACTAGTTAAGTTAATTTCGTTAACAAGTTAAAGAAATATTTTCAAAACTTTAAAGAATTTTTATAACAACCATTTTCATAGGCCTATAATATTTTAGGATGCCCGTCTTGATCATAAATTCTCATTGCGCAAAGTTACATTGAAATCGTCAGAAGGTTTTTGAATTTTTAAAATCGGTACAGCATTTTTTGCGAGAACGTGAACGAAAAATTTTACACTTTTCTGCTAGTCGCAAAGAAACGACTTCGCCGATCGTCACATAAATCGTTTTTTATCAAATGGCTTTTAAATTTTTGAAATCGGTTCAGTCGTTCTTGAGAAAACGTCGACAAACAGTGTCTTTTGTCTCACACACAATTTTTCTAATTTTGTGACAAACGATTCAGAAAAACTTGAAATCAACGATTCCGATGATCAAACAAACTCATATACTTCGCCTTAATCAATATTTATATTAGCCAGAATCACTTCCGATAAATGAGCAATAGCCCAAGAGGCATGGGCAAAATTGTTACAAATACAAAAAATGCATGTAAATCTTTACATTAGTTTGACTTTACGCTTATTTTATTTATAACTGCAACACTTCAGTATATATTATTTGGAAATGTTATATTTCGGGTCTATAATCGTATGAGTTGGTAGTCAAACACTGTCAAAATACTATGCGTGATCAGGCGTTTTGCACATAAAACCTAACCTCCAAAAGGCGCAAACCTCACAATATTATCTTTAGTCAGACTTCACGCAAATGTTATCAAAGTGACTTTAAAAAGGTGTGATAAAATTGTTATTTGGCATTTGGGTATTTTAGAGGTTACATTTTATGGGCAAACAGCCTGATCGCTCTGCAAATGTATAGATTTTTAACAGTTCATGACTACCAAGCCACACATAACATAAAAAATATCATTGAGAATAGCTATTACTTTTTTTTTAATATGCTAAAAAATTTATATTTTTAGCTAATTAAAAAAATTGTTTGCTTATTACAAAGAAAGTACTCCGTCTCTAGAATGGCTTTTAAATTTTGGAAATCGGTCCAGCCGTTTTTGAGAAAACCTTGACGAACAGTATTTTTATCTAACACATTTTTTCTTATTTTGTTGTCAAACGATTCAGAAAAATTTGAAATTAACGATTCCAATTATCAAACAAACTCATATACTTCTCCTTAACCAATATTACTTCCGATAAATGAGCAATAGTCCAAGAGGCACGGACAAAATTGTAACAAATATAAAAAATGTATGTAAATGTTAACAATAGCATATTTTGTGCATCATAATTTTATAAAAAAATAAAAAAAATAATAAATAAATTAAGTATTTATCTATAAGACTGAGGGCCATAGACACGGTTTAAGTTTATGAGAAACTACAAATTTTGTATTGTAATAAATTTATATGAAAATTGTAACAAATATATACTAAATGTAAATAAATGTTATAAATAGTACATTTGATGTATCTAATAGTCCAATAGGCATCATAAATAAAAAAAATCACTTTCATTCAATTTAGTAGACTTAGGCATAGACACAAAAAAGTTAACAAAAAAATTGTAAATTTATACTTCATACATCTGTTATTAAAAAGATATGTAAAGGTTTATAGAAGATTTACTGATATAAGTTTAGAATATTTTTTTAACAGATGCGTTAGTCCGTTAGATATAGACATAGAGTAGATAGATATAGTGTATGAGTTTTACGAGGACTTTATTTTTCTATCATTTATATTTTATTTTCACTTTTTTTATTATTATTTTTATTCATATTTTAAGTCTAACACTTCTGAATTTATATTAAAAACTATGTAGGTTAGTTTTTGTTTGATAAATGTCAAATTTTTTCCAACTTAAAACCGTTACGTTAGTTTTTTTTCAAAATTTGTTATGTACTTAACTTTTTATAACCACTATCTTATTCTAAAATTTTGGTTTAACTCAAATTGATTTGTTTCATTTTTTTTCTTGATTTTGTTTCTTTTTATCTTGATTTTGTTTCTTTTTATCTTGATTTTGTTGTATTTTTTCTTGATTTTGTTTCATCTTTTTCTTGATTTTGTTTCATCTTTTTCTTGATTTTGTTTCATTTTTTTCTTGATTTTGTTTCATTTTTTTCTTGAATTTGTTTCATTTTTTTCTTGATTTTGTTTTATTTTTTCCTTGATTTTATTTAATTTTTTCTTGATATTGTTCCATTTTTCTCTTGATTTTGTTTCCTGATGTTTGTTTGTTTTCATATTGTTTCTACAATTTTGTCTATAACTGCTAGAACAACAGCAACTAGACCTGCTTTTTCAAAAAACTATCTGGATCATACAAATCGGCATAGGCGTTTTTTTTAAAAAAAAAAACGTTGATGAAAACAATAAACTCCTATATACATATTACGCAAACACCAATACTGAAACTGTATTCCATAAATTCACCAAAAATTAATCAAATCCAATTAACAAACAAATCAATCCGAATGCAAATTAGCACGATCCTATTTTATCATTTGGGTCTCCCTCCCTCCAACTCCTCCAACTCTCTCTCCTTTAACGACAACGTGATGAGATACAAACGGAATAAGACACAGATTAATTTTGCAGCCGTTACCAAAACGATTTCTTAAACGTTAACCGCCATTAAACTTGTACAAAGTTTTGGCGTAAAATCGAATCCCACACCAATCCACCCCACTCTCCCTAGAAATAAAGGAAATTTGTTTTCGACAACTTGGAAAACAGTTTAGGATAAACCTTTACGGAAAGGACTGGTAATAAATTAAGAATAGTCGTGAAGAATGGCTTGGAGTGGTGGGGAGTTGACCAGCGAGTTAGCAGTTGACCTAGTGCCACCTAGAAAATAAAACACTTGAAAATAATCTGATAATTTGTTACTCTTCTTTATCATTTACAAAGTGATAAATAATTTTTATGAATTTATCTGTATTCCAATCCCATCCTTTCTTCTGTTGATTCGGTAAACAATTGATCATCCTGGTTGAACCTTGGTCCAACTCGTCATCTGGCCTCAAAAAGTATGTCCAATGGGTAACCAGATTCTTTACTATTTGTAAATCTGGTATCAATTTGCACCTAGGTGTCTTTTTTTATCCAGACACCTTATCTTTTTTCTCTTCCTCCAGTGTATAGTTGATCATGTTAGTTTGAGTTGTCGTTTTCCATTCTTTTTTTGTCCCAGCAGTAGCGTCTAATTGGATGACCAGATCTTTGATTATTCATAAATCTATAATTATTTTACTCACAACAATATCAACCCACATTGAGTTTTTCATCCATTGGCTTAATTTTTATGGATTTCTTTTATTGTACAGGTCCTTCTAGTCCACCTTGTTTCTTTTTAGGACTACATCCAAAAAGAAACCACATTGTTAATAAATCTAATCTATCATTCAAAGACCACAGTTTTTTTTACAGTACAGTTGGTTTTCCTGGTACGAGCTGTCTTCTTATCCCAAAAATTGAATCTAATTGTGGACTAGATACAAATCTTTTCTTATTTATTTAATTCCTTTTCCAACTACTTCATATTCTAGTTTTTCATGCAATTAATAACCTTGGCAGGAATTGTCTTCTCGTACCAAAAAATTGCGTTCAATTGGACACCAGATTTCTATTTATTCATAACTACTTTAACTGGTAACAGTTTCTATTCAATCATCTGCTAATAATATTCTCCTTTGTTCCTTCTTCCCAACACTTGTATACCTTGGCCCGAGTTGTCTTCTTGTACCAAAAACTGCTTCCAATAGAAAACGATCTCTTATTCAAAAACACTTTACTGGTATCAATTTCTATCTATCCATCTTTCACTGATACCACTGATTACCATGGTTCTATTCCATTTCTTTATGCAGTTGCTAACTTTGATAGGAGTGGTCTTCTGGTCCAAAAAGTGCGTTGAATTTGGACACCAGATCTCATACGATTTATAACATTTTCAAAAATACTTTCCTGGTATCAATTTCTATCTATCCGTCTTCCAATGACTGCGTCCAATTGCGGATCTTATCTCCTGTTTCTTGTTCCAGTGTACATCTGATCACCATAACAAGTAGTCTTTTTGACTCAAATTCTACATCCAATTGAGGAATACCAACTTCATCTTTATATTTACCAAATCCATGACAACATTAGATAAAACAAAAATTTCTAATTCTAATTCATCCAATGACAACCTGTTTCTTTTTCTACTTCCAGTGTACAGCTGGTCACCATGGTCCGAGTGGTCTCCATGTTCTGAAGACTGCGTCCAATTGCGGACCAGAACATGCGAGATCTACGACGACTATCCCATCGAAGATGACGATTTGGACCTGCCTCCATCATTATCATCATCTTCTTCATCGTCCTCGAGTAGGATCAAGAGATCCTTAGAGGCTCTTTCTCAAACCAGTGGAATCAGGAATTCCCTCTGCTCCGGGAAGGATAAGCAGATCGCCCAGTGCAGGACTGATGATTGCAAGATGAAAAATCAAGGTAAGTGGGAGAGATGACAAACTAGTGGTGTATGGTAGTAAGTGAATGGATGCGAGACATTTCAGACATTTTTATTTACAATGATGCTTAAATTGTTTGATTGGCATGAATGAGGTAAATAACAAATTTGTTCAAGATTGATTTATCTACAGGGTTTTTTTATGTCAAATAACTCTAGAGCAACTCAGTATACTCTAAAATCAACGCAGAATACTTAAATATAGGTAATAAATGACTGAAGCAACCTAAATTGAAATTTAGCTATTTTGAGAGATCTTGTTGAGATAAATCTAATGTTTTTTAATTTTTTGACATTTTTTTTTGTGTAGTCGTTAATGAAAAAAAGTGGGCGAAAGATCGAAAAATTGTCTCACATACACACATATTTGGTATCACTTGATTCAGAATGACTTTTAAAGTCAAGAAACGAAAAAATTAGCAAGGGTTTTTATATCTGAAACATTAACTTCTCGTGTCGCAAATATTCTTACCAAATTTCATATGTGTATTTAGTACGTCCTAAAAATTTGTTTACAAATTTTGTACGAATTTTTTTGTTGCTATTTTTTTATAATGCGGCATTAACTAGTTGTGCATGGCATCGTGTTTTAAGGCAAATTGCTGGCACTTCCCTAACCAAAAATTTTAATTTTTAAAAAAGATTCAATTTTCTTTTAGAACTCTGAAAAAACGATGTTTGTCCATCAAAATGGCACTTTTTTTACTGAATCTCCGAAATCGCTAGATCTGCCTTACCAAAATTTTCATTAGTTCTTCATTTCGTTAATACAAATAAAATATTTTTTGAATCATTCAAATCGGATGCTCCGTTTCCTCAAAAACTGAATTAGCGTTTTGGCACTTTTTGCGCTGTATCTTCGAAACGGCTGGACCTGCCTTTACCAAAAACGAATCAACTCGTTTCCTCATCAATATGAATCGAATTTTTGTTTAAATATTCAAATCGGTTGACACGTTTTCCCGAAATCGTCGACGGAAATTTGTATTCGCACACACACATACATACACATACACATACATACACATATACATACACACCCACATAAATCAAATTTTTTTTAAGGTATGCCAAAATATTCCTTTGAAACGTAAAGATATATAAAAAATTTCATTTTCGATTTTTTCGCGATTACTATAACCAACCCTACGGAAAGTTTTTACTGTTTTTCACCTCCAACCGTTTTTTTATAGCTATTTTAGTAATAGCTAATAAATTATCGGTTTTTTTTCTTAATTCAAAAATTAATAAATTAATGAAAGCGCGATAATCGTCTATTATATATATATAAAAATAAGTCGGGTTTTCCTTCCTGACGAAATAACTCGAGAACGCACGAACCGATTTCGACAATTTTGCATTCGTTGGAAAGGTCTCGGGCTCCGCAAGGTTTATAGCTAAGAAAATTAGTGGTGCATCGTGCCCTAAGGCAAATTGCTGGAACTTCACGCACCATAATTAAAAATTCGAGTAATGACATTAGTGAGAATTATCAGAATTATGCTTGGTTAAGTCAACGAGCAATTCTGGCCGCAAAGAATAATGATGTACATGCACTGAATTTCACCATTCAATCAAAAATTGCTGGCGATTTGGAAACATACCAATGATTCCGACTGGTCTTCCGTTTGACTACAAACGATTGCAATTTCCAGTTCGCCTTGCAAGGCCAATGGCTTAGTGTTTGCGGGATAAATTTCAAATAGATTATTTAGAAAATCATTATTTTTCACATGGGCAGTTATACGTTGCCTGTTCACGAGTTGGAAAACCATCCGCTTTATTAGTCAGACCAAAAAACAAAAAATGTGGTTTACCAAAGAGCACTTCAATGAAACGGATAATCTGAGGATTCACTTTCATTTACTTAGAGAAGTTCAACTAAAAAATACTTCATTTTTGTAATCGAAATAAATTCATTACTGTTGTGTAATAAAATCAAATTTTTCCTTTTCAAATATAAAACAAACAAAAAATTTCTTCATCTTTCTCACGAAACCATCTTGTGGCGAAACGGAGTTCGTCGGGTTTGCCAGTATTTTAATAAAATCTTGAAACTTTAAATGTGCCAATTCAATTAGAATATCAATAGTTTCAGATTAGGTTGGCTCTTGCAAAGAGTATTAATTTTACCCAGGAATATTTGTGGCATGCTTTGCAGTGGGTAAACTATTCATTTTCATTACCACAACCACATTGATTGATTGCGTCCACTTAACTCTATGTTAAACATTTTATACTTTTTAGAAATATTTTTTATGGCAAAACCACCTTCGCCGGGTCAGCTAGTATATATATATATACATATATATATATATATATATACTATATATATACATATATGTATATATATATATATATATATATATATATATTTAATGGCGGATCATTATAATGGGAAATTCTTAGAGATATGGAAAATCTTTTCAAAGTATTATACGATATCAAAGAAATTATATATAAAGGTAAATCCAGACACACACACACATATATATATATATATATATATATATATATATGTACTGTCATCAAATCCGATATATCATAATCTTATTGATCACGTGACCGAGAGAGAGTAATCATAAGGTTCAAAGAAAAATCTAAATCCGTATCATATCTTCTTATATTACATATCGATATACATATATACAAATGTATATATATATATATATATATATATATATACATGCATCCGTATATTCATATATCCTTATCTAATATAAGAAAATCTATTTTAAATCGATCTAGCTATCCGGCACATGTGTTACCCAATTTGTCTGATATACTTACGCGAATATCCTTTTATATTACACACATATTGCATATATATATATATATATATATATATATATATATATACTAGATGACCCGACATACATTGTCCTGTACCCACGTCTACGATTCAAAAGTTCAATTTTTTTTAATATCCTATCCTATACTTTTCAATATCCTATTTGATGTCCTTTCTTTGTGATTCATTTATGGTATTAGCATAAACAGTATAAAAAATTCAAAAAATAAATATAGTATCTGCGGTAAAAGAACAATATCACACTTGATTTTAGCACACAACATAATTGCTTCAATAATTTAGTCTATAATTTTCATAATCTCGTACGATATATTAGTTGCTTTTTGAGATTATAATTTCTAAAGTACATTTTCCTTACTAATAATTCAATAAACATTGTTGTTTATGTTTAAAACTTAGGTGAATTAATTTGTAAAGTCTAGGTTATATGAGCACTCTTCAATCTAAGATCAACTTGCTAAATATTCCATATCTAATGCCAAACAAATGAATTTTTGGCACATTAAACAAAATTCTAAATTGTTTTTTTTTAATAGTAGAATATTGTTTTGTATTGTTAAATAATTTAGTAAAGTAAACCAAAATGCGACATGCATAAGTTTGAAAAAATAATGTATATGCAATTTTGGACATGTTGCATTATTTATTAAACAGAATTATATAATTTCATCTGTCAAACATATACTGTTGACTGCATCTTATATTATTTTAATTACTGGCACATCTCCGCTGCTTTCCGGCAATAATAATGTAGACATTACATTTTTCTTGCATATTACATTCAATATTATCTAGGCTCATAAATTAACTCAATAAATTCCAATTTCAAGTGAATTGACGTTTCTGGCAGCAGATGACGGTTCAAATGTTTTCAATGTCAAACAATGATAAGTGTTTTTTTGTAATTTTTGCCATTTATTTCTACAATATTACTAAAGTTTTATCGTTCATTAAATCTTAAAAATTTTCTTTGACAAACTCTAAAAAGAATTATCAAAATTCAAATAACCGTTTAGGAGAAGATTCAAATCAAACACGCGAACAGAAGAATTTTATATACAAGATATATAAACATCCGCGGGTAAAAAGGTCCACCACGATATCTCTAAAACAAGTAAAGTTAAGAATTTTTTAACAATATTTGAAAGTAGTGGGCAAAAGATGTATAAGCCAGTCACCTTGATTCTTACGACGTTGCTATCAGAAGATCAACGACAATGTTTGAAAATCAATAACAAAAGTATTTTCTTTCGTTGTTAATTTTTTGATTGTGAGCACTGTTGTTTAGTTTACGAGACCTTAATATAATGTTTAAGTATACTTTACTTAATTGTTTTATAAGATGTATTGTTAATTTTAAATTAGGTTCAACTGTTTTTCTTATATAAGCTCTATAAAAGCTTACACGTATGAGGGCTAAAAAGGACCAACTGAGTCTTTACTCTGACAAAGGCGTAAACAATAAAAAACTATATTCAAAAAGTAAATTAAGTTAAAACAGCAATTTTACAAGTCTCATGATGAATAATTCTGACGAAATACAAGATCAAGGTTAATACAGTATTATTTCTGTAAAAAATGCACTCATAAAATTTTGTGAAATCCTTTCAAAATCAAAAATAAGACTTTGGATCTGTTCGCCCCCTGGTTGTTTCTATTTACCCCTTCTATGGCGTTCCAGATCCAGGTTACAAATTCTTGAAAAACAGCAAAAAAAAACACATTTCTTTGATGATGAATTAGCTGGAAGTTTTACTGAACATAGTCAGGTAGTGGTTTGTTTGATATGTGTTATTTGTTGTGATATAATTGGTTTGGTTTTGGTTTTGGCTTTGGTTGTCATTGCTTAAAGTCAAAAATTGGACTTTTGTTTTCCGTCATGCCATATATATATAACCCTGAACCGATTTTAACAGTTTAAAAACTGTTTGTAAGTTACATTAGAGAATCGTGCTAATCAGTTTTCGGCAAAGAATGATGGTTCCATTTCTGTGAGTTTGAAAATGATCGGGTACA